AGAGGCGATCCCGATGTCACCAGCCTCGCTATACTTTGCAGTACACCAATTTTCCACGATGTGTATAACTCTATCATGGGTGAGAAACCTCAAATCTCAGACAGGCGAAGTTTTCGAACTTCCTAGCAATGGGTAAAAAAGACAAGTGCCGCAGGTAGCAACACTTCCAAAACCCGTCTCTCGAGGATATCGGAGAACTTTCATGAGCTTCATTTACCATGAAAACTCTTACGATGGCTGGTTTAGTGTTGCTTGCATCGCATAAATCTTCTCTCCTGCAAATGAGATTCATTTTCCAGATTTTCCTCTTGATCATCTTGATTAGGGTGCTGGAAAAGATTACTCATCAATCAGGCATAATATCACTCAGTAAGAGTAATTCTGCGTCATGATTTTTTCATTATACTTCAATGTGAAATTTCTCTACGTGATTTCCTCGTTGGAGATTATAATAATAAAGAAAAAGAGTGGAATAGTTCTAGTCAGTGGAGTTTTTTGGGGCAGTATAGAAGTGTTCATTACAATGAATTCATTACAGTGTGGAATCATAACATATTATTTGTTACGTTTTCTGTAATAATTTTTGTGAACTTATTTATTAAACTATGTCCTGAATGTAATAAAGTGCTTAATTGTAAATCAATTGATAAAGCTTTTAGAAAGCGTGTACGTACAAAAAGCAGGATGTTTTAATCTCCATGGTTCAGCTGTTCTAGCTTCAAGTTTCCAACCCTGGCGTAGAATGAGAAAACGTAATGTTCACAACTGTCTCGCCGTAAAGTAATGCCAGAACTTTCAACAATGTTGTTTAATATATGTGAGTGAAACTCAGAGAGAGTGCGAAAACAGATCAACTGAAAACTAATTGTGTGTACTTTCGATGTGTTTACTCATTAATATTGGCATTTGAATTGCACTTCTCTCATCACGTAGGATTACATAGAGAATGGGTGGAACTTTAATCGAAGCTCATTTTTTATGTAATGCCTCCTTCTAGAGAGGATGTGTCTGTGAATCTGTAGTTTCACACATGTATTCACGTGAAAAGCTCTGCATTAGTATTAATTAACTATATGCATCGAAGCGTCTCTATACGTAGAATAAAGTCCACATTTCTGGTTGAGCGACAAGATCCACAAGAGCGCTCTTAACATTTATCTGGGCTTGTGTCATTCAATTTTTCGTGAGCTCTGTGTTTTTCCACCCAAGTCAGGGAGGAAGTTCAGCGCGTATAATTTTTCCCATGACGTGTGACTGTTGAGTGAGCGAGAAGCGTGCGGATAGGGGCATGAACATGCTGAAGGAGAGAAAATTTGTATGAGAATGAAAAATGATTGACATGGAATAAATTTTTCATACTGTTGCGTGCTGAAAATGTTTTTTCACCAGCGGAAAATGACACACAAGAGGAAAATTCATTATATTTCTCTTCCTGCACCCCAAAATTCCGCCCCTCATTTGCCACCATGGCAATTTTGGAAAATTTTCTCGTAATTTGTTATTTGTTATCTGCTCTGTACTATCTCCTTTTTCTTGTCAGAAGTGAAGTAAAAGGGCACGGATTGCGAGGGATGGCAAATGGCAAGGAAATGATTTACAAAAAGGCGCCTGAATGAAAGTTCTGTGAAAATCCTTCGTGAGCGCGTTTGTGTTTTGCCTTGAATATAATAGATAAAAATTCTCTTTGAGGTTTTCATAACAAAGACAATGCGTGGAAGTGCAAGTGCAAAGTGAATTGTATTCTGTGAGAAAACTCCTAATGAGAGACTGTGAAGACAAAAAAATCTTTTCATTTATTTGACCTTTTTTATTTTCTAACAATTATACAATATTTCTTTTAATTAAAAGAATTCTCGGAATGAATCAATGTCAGAATTTAGTTTAAAGACACTTTTGCATGAAATTGCTTACAATATAATGCGTAATCTCTAAACAAAAAATGCGTGTGAGATTTTTCCAAGCAACGTCTTCACTTCACATCTGTTAAGCTTCGGGAAATAGGTCAGATGAAAACCACTCGAAGAGGGTGTTCTATATTGCTCGTGATTTTTTGGGAGGCAAACACACAAAAAAGAGAAAGGATCCTGAAAAAAAACGAAACACAGGATCTTTCATGAAGAATATTCTTGAGGCGTCGTGAAAACAATAAAAGCTCCACTCACGAATTGCCTTGAATTTCCATCTTTGTGGATGGTAAAATCACAGAAATTGTTGATGTTTTTTCTTCTCATGCCTTTTCTCATCCCTTTTGTTCATCTTTTTATTGTCTCTTGGCGTGTCACATTTCCCAAGACAGAATATCGTCGAAAAGAACACAAAACATCCTCCTTTACCATCGCGGAACATTTTCCATACATTTCCTTTATGCCAATCGCTCTTAGTGACTAGGACTGCATGCGCTACAGTTACATATTTATCCATTCACATCTTTTAAGGCTTGTTTCGAGGTCAATTCGCTGGATTTGAAATTTCTTCTATAGTATAATAATAAAACAAATCATCATAAGATAAAAAAAGAGAATTTTATAGTTCACTGCGCGTTTATTTTTAAGCATCACGATTGAACTGTAACGTGCAGCTTAGATATTAGAAATCCCTTGGTTATTATATACTGGAGCTTTAAGTGGGAGAAGCCTGATCCGCTTTAACTTGAATTGCAATGAATTTTGGGATCATTATATCTTTTGCGTGGCAGGAAAATTGTGTTTGGTGGGATTTTGCGCGAATTAAAATGTATCTGGGGCTTTCTTGTACAAATGGAGACACGAAGCGGAAGCTGCAGTGCGGGCAATTAACTTATTACATTTTGCACGCTTTACCTTATTTGCCGTACTTCGGGGATAGTTGACTTTTCGCTGGTTCAACCATTGTACATGTAATTCCACGCTCTTTGTCCAAGCTTGCGTGTTTTTGTCATTGTACTTTGCATACGATTTATGAAAATTCATACTTGCTGGAATAGTTAAATTTGTATGAGAAAATCCTTTGTGTATGCATTTAGAGTTTCGTCATGGAATGACTTCCAACGAAAATACTTATGAATGATTATTGAAATATCCGCGATAATTAGAAGAAAAAAATATTTCAGTATGGCATGACTTTAAAACGCTTGGCGAACACTCATAAAAAGTTGCGCGACCATAACTTTTGGTTTTTGTTCGGTCAGAAGTTACATTCTGCAAAATACATAATTTAGCAATGAGTTTTGTGCTGGCTTTTTCGGTTTCTCAAGAGCAAATCTGTTTTCCATACAGTGAAGAGCACGATATAATATGCTGTCAGTGCCAAAACCTTCGGACAGTTTCGCTTGCATTTTTACCGGTTTAGTTCAAAAATGTGAATATATTATAAAGGATATTTAAGATCCAACCAGGCAAAAACGTATAATCCATGTAGCTGAAATGTTGCACATATTCTGCAATCTCTGGGTTGCTCCACACAAATTTCTGCCTGAGAAAATACGTGTTTCCCACGACATACATGCGAAGTGGAACAGGGATAAAAATTCATGCGAGTACTTTTGCAAAAAAGAGCAGAGAAAATATAATGTTTGATAAAATTTAACTGTGGATGTGGAGTGTATATGCCCCTTTCAGCCACGTTAGAAATGTGAAACGTGACAGAAATTCGCGAAAAAGATGATTTAGGCACTGAGAGGCTGAAGCATTTCCACCTCATGCCATGTATCTTTTTTGGGTCGTAAAAAGAGGAATAAATGGAGAATATATACGCAAGTAATTAAGAATGCGCCACGCGATCTTGCCTCCATTTCGCCTCAATTTCTGCGCCAATGCGGAAATTATCCTCCGGAGATGTGGAAACAGGTGTTTTCAAATGGCGTCAATTGCCACATTAATCATGGGGATCCACTGTGCAAAAAAGACCCTTTGCAATTTCGTCATTCCCATTATTGAAATTGTATAAACATTTTAATAGTCTGGCGCGGTGGCACGGCTTTTGCTAATTTCCCCAGGAATTCCTCTCAACATCGCAAATATGCAAATCAGCGCCATTTTTTGGGGTGTGTATTTTGAATAAAAATCCCACAAAATGTCAGAAGAATAACCGCGAGAGAGATAAATTATTTAAAATACTCATTCAATATTATTTATTCCGCTGATAGGGTGGGTTTGCGGAGACTTGCGTGGGCAAGAAGAAGAACGAAAGACGAGAAATGGATGATTATTTGGTGGAAAAATGGAAAATATGAGCTGTTAACAAATCTCAAATGTTTGCTCATTCATCCTCTTTTTCATTTAATACCAGGAAATATTAATACATAATTTGTTGTTCATGTATGAGAAGAAATTTTCACTGAATAAGCCTATGAAAATTTCATTATACATACATAAACTGCAGAAGTGTTTTCTACCGTGTAAGATTTTGGTGTATGTCTTATATAGAAACGCAAGTTCCTCCAACCCACATTTTATCAACGCTCATGGAAATATCCTACAAAAAATATTAGTTGAAAATCTCTTGATTCATGTATCATTTTATACATACCACGATTTCATAGTATCATATTTCCTCTGAGCAAAAGATGAGCCTCAAAATTGCCAACCAGAGAAAATGCTGCAAATTTCACCTTTCTTCATCATCCGCCTTTTTTCGTGGAAATCCCACCTGCGTTTCGGTAGAGTCTCTCGGCAAAGCGTATTTGCAGGAAACAGGAGTGCTTCCTCTGCTGTTTTAGACGCGTGGGGGGAAAATGCAAAAAGGTAACTGGGAAGAGAAATTATGGCGAAATCCTGCGGAATGGCATTTGAAAGTAAAATATGTAATTGAAATTGATTGAAGAGAAACAATGAAAGGGCTCAGAAGATAAAATAATAGAATGGTAGAAAATTGCACGATATTTCCATTTAACATTACATTTTATTTTTTCCTCCTTGTTTTCATTCTCATTTTCATTTAATTCTTTTTGTTGTAAATGATACAATGGGCTCGTTTTTCTTCTTTTCACTCTCTCTCTTTCCCTCTCTTTCTCCCTCTCTCTCTCTTTATCATCTTGAAACATAATACATGTAATGAGACATTATTATTTATTACAAAATAATCACAGATTCAAACACAAAAACGCTAATTTTTTTTTGTAAATACTTTTCCTCCACTTTTCATCTTTATCTTCGTCATCATTCGTCACTCTCTATCTTTACAATTAGTCAATTAGATTTTTCAAAATGTAAAAAATTGTATATATCTACTAATATCTTTATTTATGCAGGGTTTCCATTCATTTTTTATATTTAAATTCAATCTGTGGGAACTCAAGAAATTTGTCGTCACTACTTTATAATGGTAGGTATATTTTTTCACGTCTATCTTTTCAGTTTAATTTCCTCTTTCAATATTTTTCTATAAATTTTCTCTTTAATTTATATTTAATTACTTCAATTAATTGATTATCCTTTTCTATTTTGCATCGTGTTTTTTTTTCACCAATGAATTTCTTATTACTTTTGTCTACAAATGACACACTCACGTGCACAGGTAGAGGCGCCTAGTAGGCCGAAGCGTCGAAAGCTCTCACTACCGACGCAGCCTTCTCTAATGTGTGAATGTATGACAGTGTTGAGGAGTGAATGGATATGACTTATTTTCCACGGGAAGGAAAAGAATATCATGAAAAATGGCCACATGCAATTTTTTTTAAAAGGGTAAATTTTAACTAAATTACTCTTCAGTATTTTTCGCTTGTTTCCTTAATATACATTGGAATATTATATTGCGCCTGTTTGTCTTTCAGCGCATTATCATTAAAGTTGTTAAATGGGATGAAAAAATTTTCTTTGAATAGTTGTTCTCTTTATGGGACTTGTTATGATTTATGGATTTAATTACCTATTAGATAATTGACAAGTAAAAAAGAGCAATTACGATCAATTGCAGTTCTTCTTCATTGTTATGTGAAAATTGCTGTTTTGACTCTCTAAAATTAAATTCTGAGAAAGGGATTCAGTAAAGACTTTATGATACTGTAAATAAGTTAAATTGTTATGATTTTATCGCATTTGCCATGTATTTTGCTTATGCTTTTACAGAAAACAACGGAAAAATCTCAAAATTGTAACTCTTTGTCTGAATACAGAATGTTCTTGGCAGTGAACGTAGTACACTAAAATTCTCATTGGGAGAGTTAATTGAAAAACTTTCTCACATCCCTCCCAAAGGAACATAGCTGGAAAAAAGGGAACTGGAGAAAAAAATGGTTACAAGTAATTTGATTGCATTTTTCTCTATTGGTTTGTGTTCATTTTCCTCAGTTAATTACGCACAGAAAACAATAGCAGCTCAAAAAAAGTTCAATCGAAAAACATTAAAATGAGAACGATAGCGTGACATTTTTCTGAGGAAGTTTTTTAATATATGATTTTATTTAATTTTCCATAGAAAGCTCATCATGTTTCAAGTGATCTGCTATTACTAATTGATGAAAAAGAAAATCTCTTCGCGCCAAAACTACAATTTTTCTCTCGCGATAATCTGTGTGAAGATTATATCGTGTTCATGCAATGTTGGTTTTCATATAAGCTACGGTATTTTTTGAATTCATAGTAATTTATCAATATTTCTAAATTCACTTCCTTATCCAGCTTTTACACATCTCTCTATTTCTTTCTTTTTAGGAGAGATTAATACTTGCTGTTTTTTATATATAATTTTCCTTCATTCATTCTTTCTCTCAATTCAATAATTTATCTCTAATTTTTACTTCTTATGATTCTCATTTCTATAGATTAATCTTTGGATTCCAAATAAAAAAGTCATTTCTTGCATTTTTATACACACACCTGACGCTTTTCCTACGGTTTGTCTGTAGAATAGTGTCTCTTGGGCATCCTTTTATTATAACCCTCTCTTAAAATACTTATGAATATAGATTTAAAATTGCGTTTAGATCATTTTCTTACTTGTTAAGAGCACAAAAACAATTTGTGACTATGAAATTTTACACTTTATCTTTCTTTAATGAGAAAATGACAATAAATTAGGGATAAAGTCTCTCGCACTCATCATCATTTACTTCACTTCCTAACATTATTAATATCATTGTTTCATCCTCATGTCTTTACTTCATCATTAGATTCCTTTACTGCGGAGCAGGGCTATATAATCTCTCTGAAAAGTGCAAACACTTAACGACTACGAACTTTTTTCTTAATCTCTTCTGTCTGTTCTTCATGCTCACTCTCTATATCGGTACTAAATTGCTAAATTATCTTCTTAATCCTTCTTCATTGCTAATTGGCACTGGCTTCTTCTCTCCGTTATCTTCGAAAGAATATTTTATTGAGTAGTGGATTGATTTCGTAGATGACCACGGTAATTGGATGATACTAACCGAGTTCAAATACACTTGAATCGTGGATGTTGAAATTGAAATAAGTCATCTTTATGAGGTCTCTCGCTATATAGGACGGACACAAGAGTACAAAAATTGCTGTTGATGAAGTTGAATAGAGTGTCAGATGAAAAGAGTAGAGAAAGTTTCACTTTTCCCTGTGCTAAAAATCGAATCAGTGGCTTCATAGGGCATTTTCCGCTCAATTGTGATGCATGGATAAAAGACTGTCAATGCGATGTTGAGACAAAGGACGTGGAAAAAAGAGAAAATTAGACTTCCATTGAAATTGAAATATGCTTTGTGTCTTCATGAAGCTTTCATTTGGAAACAGTATCTTTGTCGTTTGTCCTCTGATCGCATACCTCAATACAATTACATGAAATTCACATTATGTCCAATTGAAGAGCATTCAAGCAAACGGATTGATTATATGAAGCAATGAAGGCAGGAAATTATAGAAGTTATTCTGTACACAGTCCTAGTAATTTGATAATACAAGTCAAGTAAGAAGGAAAACTGGAAAAATGTGAAGAAAACTGAAACACACACATCACAAGAGCGAAAATGTCTCTATTTCCACGTTATCTTGAAGGGAAAAGTATAGTTGAACTATTGTATATGAGTGAAACGATACAAAAGATATCTGTTCTATCTCACGACTTTTTCTCTCGACGCTTTGGAAGCTCCCTGAGTGAAGCTTTTTCCCAACTTGCTCTTTGATGATAATGAATTAGCCAGTATGAGTGATATCAGTGAAGATTTACAATTGTGCACTTAGTCTTGCTACATTCTAGCCACTTCCTCTTAAGTCTTTCCCCATATCGCTTTTATACAGTATAACGAAAAGACATTTCCTACAATCTCCATTATTCTGCTCTAAGGTATATTCTTTGTATTTACATAGTAACTGCTTTTTGATGGTTCTTGAATGTGTCTTTCTGAGCTTTTATCTCAATCTCACGAGTCATTCACGAACAATTTTTCGCTCTCTTCACGCAAATTCACTCACGCTCACCCTATTTGCTGAACTTTTCCGTGGTGCGAACCGAAAAAAGAGTCTCTCTTTTTAAATTGCCATAACAATTTTACTAATGAGCGTTTAAAAGTTGCCCTGCCTTCATCATCATCGTGGTGGTAAGTTTTCTTGGGCGATATCTCATGCCACGTGCCCTTATTCATCCCTCTTAAGAACTCTTCTGTCTTTTCTAATTGCACCCGTGCTCCCTCGACTTCTTTTTATTCCTCTCAACTTGGTGAGAGTACATCAGGAGCTGTGTGGCTTTCGAGGACTTCTCAGAATGAGCCCTGTGAATTATCATGAAATATTGAGGGTGTCTTAAGCTCGAATGTCGCGTTTTAAACTAGATTGTGACTCTTGGTGGATTAGCAGTCCCTCTTCTACATCGCCACGCCCTAGGCCTTGGAGCTTCTCATCTCAGGCAGAAGCTCGAGAAGAGGCATTTTCTTAAGAATACTTCAAAGATGTTCTACAATTTTCTTAAAACGCCTCATCATACAATTTTACTCTAAAATGTTGTGTGTGTGTGTGTGTGTGTGTATGAATTGTTTCTCCTTGTGAAATTCCTCTACAATACAATCTACATTATAATGTCGTTTTCACGCTTCGGAAACTACAAACTAGAAAATGAAGTAGCGATGTTAAATGGATGTCCTAAACATACAATGGCTTGAGAGTGTTTTATGTTTCAAATGTGTCATTTTCTTTTAACTAGTTAATCAATGAGTTACAATAAATTTTCTCATTTAAATATTATATACTTTTCATATACTTAAGTTGCTTAAATGAAAAACCAGTCTTTGGATATTACAATTATTTACCTTTATCATACTTGAAAAATACTAAATTATATATTCGTTTTCACGTGATTCCTCTGTACGTTTTTTGAGATTCTCAACCAACTGGGTTTATTTCTTTCTATGGGTAAATGCTTCATCTTCTGAATTCCCATTCAAATGACCACAGTGACGTGATTGTTAAGATCTATCTGTTCTGCTATAGATATCGGTAAGTTACTCAATAATTTATATAAATATTTGTAAATGTCTTGTCGTGCACCTGCCCTTCTTGGGAAGGTGCTGTTGTACCGTAAAAACGAAACAAAATATTGTATATTCTGCCTCTAATATGTATGTAAGTTTACAAAAAATGGCAAGAATTGCTCGAGATCACTGGAAATCTCAAAATGCTCGACTCCTCTTGGGAAGAGATCCCAATGTCATAAACTGAACAAAAATCGCACACGTGAAATCGTTGATAAATATTTCAGTGTCTTTGATATTAATTCCCATTTATATCTTGCTTTAAAACTACCCTAATATAAAAAGTCTTCAAAGAGAGCACATAAGATTCATCAACTTAAACTTTACAACGCCTCAACTTAAAAACTATAATTTCATGTAGTGTTTATGTGTGTGTTTGTGAAATGTTGCACAATTTCTTTGTCAGTCGAGAATACGGCGATAAAAGTGTAGGAAGAAACTTAACATGAGCTTTTTTCCACATTCACACAACATCATTCAGTCGACATCTCTCAGAAACTCGTAATTAATGGCTCTGCTTTCTCTCATGTGTGGTTGACGGTGACTTTTTGGTTGTTTTTGGGGCTGATCTGCTGCAATTTTGGCCACAATCGGGGGACAACTAATTACATTTCATCGAGCTCCGTCTCGTGCTCCGGGCCGTACATGTTGGCCAATTTGTCGAATCTGGGCCCCCAAGCGCCCAAATAGTCATACTCGTGACACTCATCGTCCGTTCCTGCACGTATTCCGTGAGCGCCACATTTTCATCGGGGGCAATAACAGTTTTGAATTTGCATTAGATCCAGCGCTTTATGCAATATGCATAGGAATAAACACATGGCCGTGGAAAGCGTTGGTCGTAAGCAATTTTTTCCGCAAGTGGCAATTTGTTGGCAACTCGTGTTCTGTGTACAGCGAGACACAGCAATTATTTTGAGTTGACTCTTAGATTGTTTCAAAGTGACCTCTCAAAAAATTAATTTGATAAGCTTTTAGGCATTTGATTCTTTCCTTGTCATTAGTTCTGCTATTCTCTATTGCCATATTTTATTTTTTACCACTTTGCGACTGAACGACTTACTCGATAGTCATATAAAGAGCTACAAGTGTATAATGTAGCATTGTCAGCAAACAAATGTAGATAAACATTGCCACTTCACTTGCGGAAAGAGTCGCTGAACTAAAACCATACGTTTCCCTCCAGTTGAGAAAGGTCATGGGTGGTTAATTTTCATCGTGCAGAGGGTCAGACGACCCCCTCGAGGGTGAAAATAAAAACAGGGAGAAAGACTGAACTCACCAGACGCCAGAGAACTCAGCGAACCTGCTGTACTTCCGCCACCCTCGTAGGCGTAATTCCTAAGATCATCGAATGGTGGTGCATTTGGATCGCTGTCAGCGCGTTTTTTGTGCTCCTCAATGAACAACCCCACATTTGGCTCTTGTCCAGGTCCAATTGTCATCACGGGATCTGCAGAGAATAGTGCACAAAGATTTTTTTTCAATACTTTTTTCTGCTGTATGACGGAGAATGTCTGAGAGCATGGGGCGCGAATCAATTTTTCCTCGAGCTTCCAGCACAAGAAAAATGATAACATTATGGAAATTGTTGAGCTTTTTTCTCCGTCGATTCTTATCCACGAAGCTCAGAGAGTCTGTAATGCCGCGTGACAGTGAGGAGAGTAGTTTAGGAACTTCTTGTCTTAACTATCTTGCTTGCTGAATTAATTGTACGACATTGCTTAAAATTATTCTTATTATCATAGAGTTCGCCCACGAGCTTCAACCGCAAGAAGGGACGGAAAAAAGATCTGGGAAAATGGAAATTACGCACATGTAAAACGCTGAAATTAACCTTGTAGATATTGTGCTTTTAGCGCTCCACAAAAGCTCACAGCGAAAAGTTCGCGTGTGGCGTATGACTTGATTAAGAAATTATATTTTGAATATTTAATGAAAATGCCGCTCTGAAGGTAATTTTAATTATATTTTTCTTCTTCTCGCACAAATGTGAAATTTTCCAAATATCTCGTCTCAACAGTAATTAATTCTCAGCTCTGTGGTGTGGAAAATTTTACCCATTATTTATTCACTCAAACAAATACTTGTGAAAATGATTTAAGGCGTTCGCCGTTCCTCACTCGGGCGGAAAATATCAACCATAAATAATTTACAATTGACGAAAAACTTTCTAATTAATTCATATTTCCACCAACAGTGCGGCTTCTTTGCCACTGTGAAAAATTGCACGCAATCATTCACGGAAGGATGATGGTAGAAAGAGGAGACAACACTTTAGCGAGAAATTGATGCGGGAGGTTCGGTGCTAATTTAATGTCATCAATTAGGTAATGTATCGAGTGGAGGGCACCGAGGTGAATGTCTGAGGAAATGACAAAAGCCACGTATGGATACTTACACATAATTGGCATCTTGCACTGCGTCAGCTCCGGCATTGTGCCTCCTATTGGGATCTGCAGGGGAGTTATGTCGAAGGCTGTCATATCATCTTCGCCGCCACCCTCGTCATCGTAATTGATGATGTTCTCCCGGACATCGTCATCAGGTCCCGGATACTTGATGTGAGCTTCTCGCCGTCGATTGTACACCACAAACACGAGGACTAAGACTGAATTTGGAAGGAGGAAATTGTTAGTGAATTTACTGAACACGGAGGCTCGATGAAGACACACTTGGACACTAATTGAAGCACAAGACATTCCAGACACTACACGATACACAGAATTTGAACAGCTACAGTCTAGTATCATATATGCATTATTATGTGAATAAATTGGTAGCAAAGTTGCAAGGTTTTTTTTTATTATTATTAATAAAATGCAGCCATATGATGTCGTTAAGCATATGATTGCAACTATGAAATTTTTTCCTTCAAGTCCTTAAAATTTGATATCATTCAATTAGAAAGTTTTGCGCAAAAGTATTAACTTATTAACAATGTGAATAAAGATAAATGTGAAGAAAGATTCTATAAATTCTTTAGGTCTTCACATTATCTGAATTTTCAGGTGCTGCACAGCAGTGAAATTTTGCAACGCTCGTTGATTGATATGGAATCAATATTTCGCACCATGATTAATAAAATACCCATAAATTAGATTGTAGATATGAGGTCACCGATGAATTTTGTCCAATAAATCGAAAGTGTGCTATTGAGTGAATAATTAATTAAAAGCATGTGTCTTTTGTCGTATGAAATTCATGATTTATTTTACTGCCGTCAATAATGTGTTTTGGATAATTATCTGTATTTAATTTCACATAAAATGTGCGTTTATGACAACAATTGGGACACTGAACGACCACAGAGAAGTTCATACTACATACATTATATATTATTCACTCATGCTTTCCATTTATGGATAAGAAAAGTTTGTACGGCGATTTTTCTACTGGCTGTTAAATGGTGAAAAATGGGTGAAACACTAAAGATGAAATAATTTTCCTAGCTCCACCGTGCCAGATTCCAGAGGAAAATCCCCGAAGGATGACCGACGAGGGGTGCGAGGTTGGAAAAGTGCAAGAGAAAGCGGTTCTATATACGAGCGACTTTTAAATTTAAATATATTACCTCCCTGCAATTCAATTAATCATACACTTTTTCTTCATCTTCTCCTTTAGCGACTCTATAAATTTATGAATTATGTACTTGCCTCATTTTCATCCGGAACTTGTCTTTATTGTATAAGGACTTTTCTCTCACCACTCGAGAGTGAGAAAAGAGGAATTTGTAGAGAACAGAAATGGAACTGAAACAACATTCAACGACCCATTTCGATATAAAAGTGGTGTGAAAACAATAAAACAGAATTTTATTGACTCTATAAATTTTCCTGCAATGCCATTTTTCCATGTTTTCCTCTCGCATACACTCCTGTGTCAGAAGGCAAATGTTAACAGACTTATGTGACAATAAAAGTGACACATTTGTAAGAAGGTCGCTTGACCAATTAAATCATATTGATATTTATTTAGGCTCTGCCGGAAATCAATGTTTTCCCTACAAAATTATGAATTTATTTACTGTGAATACAAATACCGTTTTAGAGATGATGGAATAAATTATGGCAGAAAGCTTCCGTAGACGGAAAGTCTCTGCATGAGCAGCCTTGGAAAATCTGCGAGAAAAGTGATTTTTTTTCTCAACTTGTGCGGAGCTTTAAAATTCAAAGGAGCTTTTCGAGAGTAGATGGTCTTCTCTCAGGTGTCTTCTGCCAGGAAAACATAATATTCAAATGTCAGTGCAGGATCTGAACCAAACGGAGATTCGATAAATTCTACAAAGTGTCACAAAATCTGGAATGGGGCGGAATGTATTAAAATTTTATCACACTTTATGGCTACGTTTTTCTGTGGATTCATCGTGTGTATCGTGAATGTTGCAAGAAGGGGACAGATCAGTAGAAGAGTGTGGGTACAGCACACCATAACCGTACCTTGTTCAAGTGTACAAAATACTATGGCATACAAAAGTGTCAAAAGCTTTTGGAAATATTCTATGTACATAAACTTATCAAGTATTTTGCAAGGTATTTTGTACTATTGTGAAAACTTTATGTGTATGCACACTTTTCTACAGAGTGTCACTCCCTCGCTTTCATAGATTATGTGTAAGTGCAAAAGAAGTCAAAGGGGATTATCAACAAACTAATAACTTTTAATGTTCAAATAAGAATAGTAAGAGGAACACAGTGGATTTATAGGGATATAATTTATACAATGTCTCTACAAAACTTCTCCAACCAAAACCAAAAGTATATATTGGATGTCGCTGTGCTCACAAGCAGCTGAGGTACTTACGGATGAGCGTGGCCAGGCACACGAGGAGGGCAATGATAAAATCTTTGGATGGTGTTATCACGCCAGAGGCAAGGAGCTCCAGCTCGCAATTCATCCCAGTATATCCTCTGGGACAGCGACATTCGTACCTCCGCGGTGGCGCGAGATCCCGACAACGGCCACCATTACGACACGGGAACCATTGACACTCATTCTCATTGGCACAACCATTACCAGCAATAGAAATCCTATAGCCGACTGGACAACTAAAAAATCGGGTATGGCAGGAAGAAAGAAGAGAGAAAGACAAATAAATAGACAACTAAAGATAAACAGAGGAGTAAAACCAAGGAGGGATGATGTCTGCATAAAATTATTTATCGCACACTCGCGAAGAGAATTGACTATTGCGCTATGTGAGGAATTCCCACAGAGGCACATTCCATTTCATTTCCCACACATTACACGTCCTCAGATGGACGATAGTCGAGAAAAAGGGGAAAAATATCTCGCATTTTTCTCCGTCTCCGCAGCATTTGGACAAATCATCCTCGGAATGCTGGGCACAGGGAATTCATGTACCATAGCTATATACTGAATAGGATTTTGGGATGGAATGAGGGGATGCGATTCTCATCTTGTTGGGATGAAAAATGAGGATGAATTAGTGCGGGAGGAAAATTAATCCGTGAAATCCTCCACTGTCTCATAACTTTTACTTACAAAAGCACACACGCTGCCAAAGTCAGTCAAGATTTTCGTTCTTGCGCGAGCTTCGTCACTCTAGCTAGAGTCTAGGCCACTATATACACAAAGAGCATGCAAATTATGCAACCAAGACATACATTATGGATGATGGTTAGGAAAATCAGCAAACACATTCTCACGAGCATACAATTATTTGAATATATAAAGTGTTAATTTACGACAACTACAAGAATTCGGTGACAGAATGAGAATGATGATGTAGAGGCCTGAATTTTCCTCATTTCACCATAAAAGAAGTGTGCTAACATGGTTATATTAAGTTTTTTTTCCATTAGGTTTTGAGGCAAATTTTGTAATATCCATTAAAACAAGTAATTTATCACTCCAATAAAGTCCTTCTCACCATTATGTCAACAATATAACTACACGTAAAAGCACATCTCTGAATTAAATGCTGTGCAGACCCTCTGTATAGCTAAAGTGGGTGCACGGAGGAAAATTTAGCGCCACTTCATACACCCCTATCTCACTCTGCCCGCCACCGGCAGCCCACCGGAACTAAAACACAATAATTAAGTGGGTGGGCAATGCTGGTGGTGTAGCATAAATTTATGTAGTCATTTTTGCTCACTCAAAATTATTAGTAGACACACAAGGATGGCTGCCAAAGCGCCCATGCTCAGCTTCAGTGTCTGACCCTCCTGGATCAGTTCGCAATTTTCACCCCAGAAGCCATCGGGGCATATGCAGCGATACCGCAGCCTCGGCTCCAAATTTATGCATGTGGCACCATTGAGGCAGGGCAAGTCGATGCACTCATTGCGATCAATGCAGCCCTTTCCATCTGGTGACATTATGCGCCCCTCGCCGCAACTTTTGTAGTCATAATGCAGAAGAAGATGGATTTTTTCTTTTGTACAATACAATGCAAAACACACTCACACACACAAAATGGGGGCGAATGTTGATGGCAAGTTGAGGTGTTGAGATTGGGATTATGGTTTTATTTATCTATATGTATATATTTGATTCTAAAGCCAGACAATTCTTGCATGGTAAATCACACAAAACCACACGCAAAAGGAAAGTTCCAAACTATGATGCACACTTCGAAAAATCGATTGTATAGTCATTTTCTTGAGACACATGCCTTTGTAGTCTCTCAAAAACAAGTTATCTTCACGGAAATACCATAAATAGAGACTTTGAGTAAATCCAGCAATTCTCCTCTATGTCATAAAAAGACTGATTCAAGAGGAAAGATCATAAAATCACCATCCAACTTCCAACTTCACAGAGAATTTATTACATAGACAATTCTCGAGAATTCTCTGCGGAAGCTTAAGCGCGACAAGTAACACAATATATATATATATATATACATATGTATATAAGTTGAAATTTATTAAAATTCCCATCGTCTGGGTGGGAAAGTTTATCAGTGTCATGGCATGTGATGAGAACGGTTGCAGAGCAAAGCTCATGGACAGCCTTGTGGACGGCTTTTTGTTCGCTGAATGTGTCATCAACAAAAAGCACCCACAATTGTCGCGAAACAGAAAAGTTTTGTGTCGCAATTTTTCCACTCTCTCTCTCTCTCGCTCTTTGAAATATTGTCAGCATAGCCTGAACCGCCACAGAGAACTTTTGTATATGGTTACTCCCTTTTTCACACCCGCTTCATTGTCCCTTGTTTTGGGACTTTGGAGTGTTTTTCACCGTGGAAAACTGGAAAACATATTGGTTAGGGAGATTTCGCTTTTACAGCTCAAAAATACTCAAAGAGAACCAATCTAGAGGTGTTTTGTGTTTTAATCCTCTTTACTTGCAATCATTTTCTTAAATTATGGAGTTTGAGACAATTTTATATTATTCATTTAGATGCGAAAATTTCAAAATTTGTTTTCTTCCGCTTAGGTAAAATTGAATTAATTTTCTGAAAATTGTGAGACTATTTTCGACGAATGTTCCTTTTCAACTCCTGTTATGGGGTTTACTAATGTCAAAAGGAGCTTTCAGCAATCATTTCAGATGAAAATAATCAATTAAGTCAGAAGAATTTATACATAATAAACAAATTGCATAACAGAGTCATTCATTATAAAAGATCTTGTGTAAACCACTTTCAATTCCCTCACTTAAGATTTGTCTTATTGCTCGTGAAAAGCGCACAAATAGACACATTTGCTGTTGTTTACCGACAAATCCACTCAGTTAACTTTTATCGCTTCACCAGAAGAAATTGTTTTGCTCTGCGCAAAATGTTATATAATGTCTCTGTGCACCGGATGAATAAATGGGAAATCGTGCTTTTCGTCATCTCAGGAACTAAGCTTTTTCCCTTTGCCACAACATGGGGTGAAAGCTTGGTGCGTGAGTGAAGGAAATAAATTAAAAACAAACAGATGTAACCGTAAAAGTGTCTTCGGGGCAAATGTTGCATTCTCGCAACTGGATAATCTTATCACATAAATCATTTTTTTCTTTGAAAGACATCATGTCTTACCACTCCTTCCTCCCCAGCGTTTCTCTATTAACCAGCATCATGGGCTGCGGAATCACGACTTTAATGAATCACACGTTTCTGTAGTGAAAGCATTTCACGCCAATGAGAATATTTCAAAAATATTCTCCCAGAAAATTATGTGCCTTTCATAGAGCTCTCATCTCGAGTACGCACAAGAGTAAATAACAAATCAAAAGTCTCTGGATGTTAAATTGAAAGAGAAGGGTGAACCGGAAGGAAGACACGCCAAGTGGCGGGATGAGCCCTGGAAGGGGCGGTGGCTTAAATACACACAAATGTAGAGGAGGGCGAATTTTGTCAGCAGGCGGGGGTGAAGTATCTTAGGGGGGAAAAGTTAAGTGGGAAAGAAGCAAACAAGATCAAGAAGAAGGAATCAGAGTAAAATAAATTACACTTCCATGTATGGTGGAGGCTAAAGAAAATGTTAAAGTCATCACAATACATTCGTCTCTCCAGAGCTTTCATCTTGAAGAGAGAAGAGAGCAAAATCCAAGTACTAATGCTGTCGATGGTATTATCGAATGGGATGTTGATGGAAGAAGTGGTTAAGTCACTGAGAAGAAAATGGTATTATTCTTCATCTGGACTACTTATCTCAGGAAAGACTTGAATATATATGCAATGCGATGCACTCGTGAACTTTCCAACCGCCCGCGCTTTTTCCGCGGCAAATGCGCAACAATATTTCATCGGAGACACTGATAAACACTTTCAAAGACGATTTATTGGATGAAAAATCGAGTCACTCGACGATAGAAATTGCTTCGTAAATCATCTTTCATAAACTACTTTTTTTAAACGCACATACATACATCGCCTCAAATGTGGTTTTCACACTACATTATTAGTTTCCTGTTTCTAAGGAGTGGAGAAAGCTTTTGAATTGGCGAGGGGAACTCATTGGAAGTTACGTGTTCGGGGAGACTTTCTATATATCCAAGCGCACATGTTCTTCAAGCTCTTTTCCAGGAAACACGACCAACAGGATATACGGAAAAGGGTTTTGGTGTGGAATTTTGGTTTCCTTTCACACCACAAATGATTGATTGTCTCACAGCCACACAGTTGTACATCATGTGATACATTCCTTGTCACGTATTTTATTTACTTTAGAGATATATTTCTCTATTTCAAAATCTCTCACTTTGCTTTGACAATTGGCTGTGACGGATGGAATTTACTAAATTGCCTTGCACGTCTCGGTAAATCCAGATTGCTTCACTTGTTATTTGTTTTTCCCGCAGAAAAGCTCATCCGAATATGTAAAGAGCTTTTCACTCTCAGCTCACTAGTAGATTATATTATTATTCATTTAAATTATGCTTCTTGAAATATGTAACACAATCACTTGAAGCTGACATTATTTTATGTCTCTTGAAAACCATATAAATTGACATGTCATTGTATGAAAATGAAAATTACACCATTTCTATATTGCAATAGAACTTAATGAAATGGTAATTTGTAATTTTTGAGTTACCCCGTGGGCTTTTCATCTCATCCCAGCTATCTTCATTTACAGTTTACATTCTATCGAGAGAGCAAGCGATTCATAATTGGGAATGTATTCACGTGGAAAATATCCACTAATTGAAAGCAAATGCAATTTAGCACCTGATTTTGTGATTCAGTAAATTCACAGCAGCACATTTTGATCCAAAATAATAATTCACCGGAACAAAACCGACGGGGAAAGTCGCATTTTGAGCGGTCGTTGTGAATTTTCCAACGATTTTCATTTACAGAACGCAACTCTTGGAAGGTGAAACGGTACAATATGGTAAATATCATAAATAGCAATACTCACGTGCACTCGTATTCATTCCACAAATCGACACATTCGAACGGATCTGGGCAGATAACGTTGGCACATGGCTTGTTTGACGGACAATTGCGTTCCAAGTTTCTCGCCATTGTCGCTTGACCCCACTGAGTTCCATTCATGGCCGGCGGCAGCGGAAGATGCTTTCCCTCGAGCCTAGACAAATCAACAGGAATTATTATGCTTACAAATTGACTGCGGAGATGCTATTCACATTGAATTAGGATTACAGATTTTCAGGCAACATTAGACAAGAAACACAATGAACCTAAGTATACAAGCTCAAAACCGATCACTTGTTAATACCGCAGTTCATGATGTCTTGCTAAAAGCTCTTTTGGAAACTTGCCCCGATCATTTCGTCAAATTAACATTTCACAGCACGATAAATCCTGTGCATTATTGAACAATTCATGGGTAGAAAATCAATATTGACCACTTCAAGACATACTTCAAGAGGGTGGCAAACTCTCCTCTCTTAATTGCAAAGTAATTTCAATGCGGAAGGAGAATTTGCATTGTCTACATAAGAATTTCTCATGAGCAGCTTCTACATTATACATAACTTGATTAAACTGAAATTCCACGTCATTTATTGGTCTAATGAATTTGCTTGAAAATTTATGTTAAAGTTCAACATTTAATTTACCTGATATCATCCAAACAGCTTTTCTGGTAATCTGCGTACACTTCGAACGTCCGAACTCCAGTATATTCTGCCTTTCCACCAGCATAGACACCCTCTTGCTTGTCCACCAGCAGCCATTGGTGTCCATCAAATTCGAACGTCTCATTATATCGTCTGCCTTCACCGCCATCCAATTCCAACATCGCCGCTGATCCGTATCTATTCACTCTCACAACATGCCACTGACCATCGTCAACGGTCACCGAATTGAGCCAGAGATCTCTCTCCTCCGTTCGTAGAGAGTTCAAGTTGTAACGGAAGTGCAGCCTGGCTTCCTTAATTTCCAGAATGCCATATTCTCTGTTGTGCTGATCACTGACGCGGAACAGTTCGCCATGTTGCTCTCGAGTGCGGAAACGCAGCTGAATTTGAGTGCTGAATCGATCAGGTTCGAAACTGAGGGCGTACTTAACGTAGCTCTGTTGCTTAAAGGTGGTCGGAATAGTGGGCACATTGCACGCTGGTCCAGTCCATCCAGGTCGACACTGACATCTGGCTTCGCTGAAGCTGCCCACACAATTGCCATGCTCCCAACAGCGGCTCGTCTGCTCACTCTGGCTGCACACTTCCTCGGTCTGAGGACATCCCGTGAGGCTGTTTCTAGACAAGCCTGGATGCGCAAAATCGTAGAGTTTGCTGTTATGAACCAAGTTCCTAATGCATCCATCGAAGCCCTTGCCCACAGGCATGTAATGCCAGTGGTATAGACTAGCATCAAAGGGCTCTCGATACAGGCCACCAACTTGCAGTGGTGCATTCACGTTGAGGTACTCATTGAAGGGAGGAATTGTCCCTCTGGCCTGGCAAGAAGAATCATCAAACTCTGGTGGCGATCCGTCCTCCATTTCAGCCACTTCGGCTGATTTACAGTAGTCAATCACCATTCGAACATTCTCCGTGTCCCAGAACAAGTCTATCCTATGCCACTCGCCATCATCGAGACTCTTCTTTGTCTTCACCTTGAGCTCAAGTGTGCCTGAGCCGAAGTCTATCAGTAACCGCGGGAAACCTCGCTCTATTTCTAGCGCAATGAAATCCGATATCAGCTCTTCGTCCCTCTCGGGCGGCACTATGGGTCCGTTGTAGATGAGAAGACCATCAGATTTGCGGGTTATGAACTCAAGACTCAAGTGGGAGTTGTCGCACATTGCCAGTGGAGGATACCAGGCCCATCCATTGCCTCGGAAGCTCCGCGTGGTCTGCTGGCATCTTGGGCCAGTGTATCCAGTTGGACAAGTGCAAGTCAACCCAAATCTAGACTCCATACAGCGTCCGCCATTGTAGCATGGACTTGAGCGACACGATTCCGACTTGGTGAAATTTCTATCGCCACATGTGCACTCAGCCTGGACATCTACTCTCACTCCCACTAAGGCAGTCTTATTGGCATTCACCATGTACGGCAGAGCACTTATATCGAGATTATTTGTACACGAGCCTTCACACATTTGATTCTCATACAGACACTCATCAATGCCAACCATTGTGATGTTGATTCCCACGTCGCGCTCAATCTCCTCCCTGTGCATCAAGACTATTCCATTAAGCCTGACTGGCTTGTAGTACGGAGAACCATGAGCTGAAAAGCGGATATCTGTTAGTGGAGGATGCTTTCGCCGCAGCTGAACACTGAAAATGTCCACATTCTCCCGATCGGTGTTGAGCAAGTCTGAAAGTTTGTCACGGAATCGATCGAGTTTGCTCCTCGACAAGCTCTGAGTTCTGTAGTTCCACACCCTTATAAAGTCCTCATCCGTTATTCCGGCTATCCTTATCGATCCAGAATTTATCACCGCGTCATGGGGTATCTCTTTCACCGTGACAGTAACATTAGCAGGAACGTCGTTCTGTGTATGCTTCCTGTCATAAACCTTGAACCGCAGATGATACTTTCCATCCCGAGTGCCTTGACGCATGGTAATCATGCCAGAATCCTCGTCTAGCTTGAAGCGAGGATGCTCAGTACCTTCCCAATAGAACTTCTTATCCGGCAAGTCCCAGTCATCGAGATCGTAAACATAGACTCTTCCTATTTGCGTGTCTGGAGCCTGTCCTTGATAGTTGTACACAAAGATATCCTTCGATCCTGGCTGCATTTTGTTGTCGTTAACGTCCCCTATGATCACCGTCAGGGTACTGGTTCCCGTCATTGCGGGATTTCCGTGATCCTTGATCACAATCGGAATGAGGTATTCCTTTTGCTGCTCCCTATCGAACGATCTCAGAGATGAAACAATGGCCATACCATCGCCGTTGGCACCCTTTTGATCTTGCTCCACCTTGAAGGAGGCTCTAATTATGTCATCTGCTCCTGGGTCAAGTCGGAACTGGAAAGGTGGTCCGTTGCTCTTCGAGCGATCATCGTCGTCTGTTGCCAGGATTTCAACCACTTTTCGCGGCGGGACATGTTCGGGCAAGACAGGTCGATAGTCCTTCAGGAACTTTGGAGCATTGTCATTAATATCTTGCACGATAACTGTCAGAGTTGCCGTTGCTGTTTTCGGCGGAACGCCATCATCAATCGCCAGAATCTTAACTTGGTGTCTAGGAATGTTCTCACGATCGAGTTTCCTCTGAATGGTCACTTGTCCGCTCTGATCAATGTTGAACTGCCTCTGGCGATCTGAAGAGCGATCAATGGCGAAAGATATCTTCCCTTTGCCTCCTTGATCTGGATCAACTGCCTTGAATGTTTCAAGGGTGGTGCCAACTTCCGCATTCTCATACACTATTGCTTCAATATTCGGCCGCTCAAACTGGGGTTTGTTGTCGTTTATGTCGCGCAATTTGACCACAACCCAAGAATAGGCCACATGGTACTTGTCATTGTCGTTGTCTTCGCCCTTGTCGTTCACCTGAATCCGGAAGCGGAATCCATTGCTCTGCAACTGATCCTCATAATCGAGTGGTTGCACGATCTTCAGACTTCCCGTGCCGTCATTATTGCGCACCATCGTGAACTTATCTGCCCCATAACCACTGTTGTCAATAACTTTGTATTGGAACTTGTTGGTCTCATCCTCGTCATGCACAGTGACGGTGAGAATAGGCATCTCAGGCAGATTCGATCCGTCCGTTTCGTCAACTTCTGTAAACCATTCGTCTTTGGTAAATTGAGGCGGCATATCGTTTATGTCTTTTACTCTTATCGATGCCGTTCCCGTTCCTTTTAACCCCCCGCCATCCATTGCAACCACTTGTATGGAATAATCAGGTGTGCGTTCGCGATCTAAGCAGCAAACTGCCGTCTTTATCACTCCCGTGTCGGGCTCGATTTCAAATATGGGCGAGCCCGTCTCCTCCTCTATGACATTCTTCTCTATTGAATACACCAGCTTAGCATTTGTACCCTCATTGGGATCATCGTAATCCACTGCCGTCATTGTCATCACCACCATGCCAGCAGTGCCATTCTCCGTCACGTTGCCGAAGTATACGCCCTGCGGGAAAATGGGTGCGTTGTCGTTGATGTCCTTCAAGTTCACCTGCACATCAGCATATCCCACGAGACCTTCGCCACCCTCGTCCTGAGCAAACACCGTGAAGCGCCACTGGGGTCGTCCGTTTGGCTGATCTCGATCCAATGGCTGTTTTTACGAGAAAAGAGATTGTAAACAAGATATAAGGGAATTATCAAGTTATCATTGTTGGTCATAAATTTTATGATGACACAGGGTGATTCCAGGCAAGAAAGTGGGCTGAGGGGATCGAGGACTCCTCGCCATATTTCAATTATTAAAATGGAAGATATTAGGGACAATATTTTTTCACCCACCCTGTTTACATTGCTTCGTAATCTCTGCCGCCTCGACCATCCGTGCCACCGTTGTCCTCATCTTCCGAATCAACACTCAAGGTTTAAATATATGGCCCGGAAGGGATATCAATGTGTAAGATTTAGAGTTTTTTATCCTCAGCCATCCTTTCTTTATTTCCCAACATGCCCAATTTGGGGGGGGATACTTTACAACCCTCGGAAATATACATCCACCGATAGAGGGACAACGGAGATGAACAAGTGGTGAGATGAGGGACTATAAAACACAATTCTCGACTTAATTTGTCTTGTTGCTGTGTATCTTTTTTCCCTTCGTCTCTTCCAACGCACACATCTTGACCGCGGGGAAACTTCTGGCACAGGAAAGTTGTGTTGCTGCCTTTCTTGTAAATATTTTTACAAGGGATGGTCTGCTGACGGAAACTTTTCATCGCAGACGATAAAAAGTTTCTCTCTTTTCGGACTCTATATCCACTGGAGGAAATACCCAATGCCTGGGACGCATGAATAGCACGCACACACTCTCTATCTTAGTTTGGATCCCCATATCAATAAATAGGAAAGTTTCTTGTTTGACGCCCAAGCACAATACTCAGAACAGAGTCACTTAATTGGTGGCAATTTCGTGAGCTTTTTTCCACCCTCCTCGGCCATTGGAACATGTGTCGGTGAGGCGACGAGCTTCTCTCCCCTTCCGGACCGGCACTGATTTTCCAAACTTGACGCGGATGCTCCTCTCGTGGGCCTCCCTGTGGGTGGCTTCGGGTGAACTTTTATTGTTGACTTTGGGGTTTTGGGATAGAGGTTGCCAGGGGACTGAGAGAAATGTACACAAGTGTTTGGAAAGGAGTTTATGGAGTGAAACGAGGGTTGAAATTTATAGTCTTTCCACGGGCGAATTTTGTGTGCCATCCGAGAAGAAGGGCTTCTCATTAAGACTCTGTGTATTTTTTCACTCTTTTGTCGAATTTTTCTAGACCAAAAAATGACACAGAGCCATAAATAAACAGTGAGATGGGAGCAAATCAACAGAAATTTATTCTGTTCGTGTGCTATTCACATGGGTTGACCACACAGGAGTCACAAAGCGAATAGAATTCAGATATGTAATAAAATTATACTAGAACTACTGTTGGAATTCGAACTCTGCGTGGATATGGACTAACTAGAATGGTAGTTGTTTGAATAGAGTTGGAAACCAAGAGAAGCTTTCTAAATTGAACATTTAGGAAATGCATTTGCCTAGAGTTATTTTCTCTGAAAGAAAGTGAAAAGAAGCCTAGGGCCATAAAACACAAAGGAAATCCCTATCCTTTCGTTGAGAGTTTCTGGTTTATTTCACCATATGAATTATTTGTAATTCGACAGAATAGAAAATACTTCAGCAATGTGAAAGCTGTGTAGAGAAAGTAGGGAAAAGCTGGACTTGTGGCAACACAGAACACACACAAAGACACATTTACCCAAAATTTTAAGAGGATTATTCATGGTTACGGCTTGTAATATAAAACACACTTGCTTCCCCATTTGAACAAATGCTAGGCGCAATTTTCAGTCTTCCAACCTCCCTTTCGCAAAAGCTCCTCCGGCACTTCACACGGAATGCAAAATGATAGGGTGAGAAGAGTGCGGGTTTGCCGGAAAAATTCCGTGGTCCATTTCCATGGATTTATTCGTTCTGTAATATGCAAATAATTCAATATTACGGTGAACCTCTGTCGCTTTTGTAACCAACACCATCATGAAACACTTTTTCCTCAATATAATGTGAAAGGTGAGACTTTACCCTCCATCCTGTAAATGAGAGTCCACATCGGAGCGTTGGGAAAAAAATACCGCTCAGTTATTCTTTAATGATCTCTCGCACGCTGGTAGAAAAAAGTCCATGCCCAGCTCTTCAGATATACACTTCCAAGTGGCGATGATGGGGGCTGGGCAGAAAACCACCCACGAAGAACATGAATTTTAATACCACTTTGTACATGGCGAGGAGGGTGGAATTTTCATGAATTTGAGAAGTGATCCGGGTAACAAAAAATCAGGCGAGAGACACACGAAAATTCACCCCATGGAAAACACATTTTCAACACTCAACCAAATGGATGCAGAACCACACATTTTTCACACTCCGCCGTCCTTCCTTTTGGACTCTTAAAAGCTCTCGCCGCTTTAGTGCATAAATTTCCTTTGATTTCTCCCCAGAGGTTCGGCCCCTCTTCGCTAAAGTATGTACTTTTGAGGGCATTAGTCTTCCTAGCAATTATTGCGCATTTATCCAGGATGCTCTCTATTAACCCTAATTTGTGTGAGTTTGATGTCGAGAATTCATTTGAAGTAGGTCCATAAAATTGAGAAAAGGAGTTTTTTTTACTGGTTTTACTGAATTGCAGAAGCACTAAGGAAAGAATGAGTTACTCAATGTGATGTCTATTGTGGAGTGAAGTGGGCACAATCTTGACATAATATTAAGGTTCACTCTTGGAAGATGATGTTGTGAAGAGTCCTCGATCAGTTGAACTGACTTATTAAAGCAAGGCAAAGGAGAGTGACTCACCTTGAGCACGAAAATTTCTCCTGTTGTGCGATTGATGTCGAATTTGCTGTTGGCCGGATTGTCGGGATCGATGCCTTGTCCAGTGAGGAAGTACACTATATTTTGCGGACGATCCTTGTCACCATCTGTGGCTGTCACCTATATAAGTTGGTTGTATGTTAGTGATAAATTGCATCTCACATTTGGTTGCATTCTTGGACGTGAAGCAAACAGCACACATACACATTGCAATATTATAGTGCTCAACAGTCAGTGTTTGTGGGTTAAATTGCCGAGTTTGTGGGAGTGAGTGGAGGAACACAAGGTACGGGTTGACACAGTCATCCACTGAGCCGCAACCCTTCGACTCCAGCTGAGACCGCACGGCAACTGCACAACTCAGCGGGTCAATGGGGCGGGTCAGTGTGTGACGTGATACAGTCTACTGTATACCATTCACACTCACATTAGTGTCATGCATTTCAATTTCCACCAGCATTATCTGCAAGCTACCATGCACATTTCAGATGCAAAATAGAACCACACTTCTTGCTCCTTCGTCGGGCATTTAGCTTATGATTTTACGACCTATACCAGTTTCCAGTACCATTACCATAATTTCACACACAACTGTTTCGAGTCTTCCAACAAATTTCTTATCCGATAAGATTAAATGTTTCGAGTTGTTATGTGGAGATTGCAGAATATTGCTATTTTCTTGATGGGTACAACAGAACAATTAATATTGTTAGAAATTTCTTGGGCCAATGCCAATTTCCCATATAAATTCAATTGCCGCTCTTAAAAACCCCTTTTAAATTTACATACTGTTCTCTGTTCATGAAGTAACTAGAATCGGCAGAAATCATCCCAAATGCTGCTGAATTGAATAAAATATCAATTCATCACGAGATAATGCAATTTATGCAGAATTAACATAAAGTGTGTTGCATGCAAAATTTCTATTATTTAGCATATTAGAAAGACAAAGTGTAAAGCAAATTATTTACAGTGAGACAAAATAATGTACACATAATATTGAAATTCCCAGTACAGAGAGAGAGATATGTAACTTTTACCTTCTCTCTTTCTCTCACTCTCCTCAGCAAAACTCCATCAACACTAATTTAAAGTGATAAAACATTTGCACTGCACATAGATAAACAAATTGCAAATTGTGCAAAATAAATATTTGTCCTTTCGTTGTATCTCTCAACAACAGTCGAGCGGAGGCTTATGGGGCAAAATCGTGCTCAAATGGACGCTGGATGATGGGGCAAAAGTGAATGGTTTTGGTGTGGGTGGAAAGAGTCGAATAAATTGACTATGAAAGCTCGATATGACTGGAGTGGGTGAATCCGTCATAAACAGTTCAATTAATTCGGCGTCTTGCTGGCCACGAAAGCACGATCTGAAAGATAGCTTATAATTGGTTTTGAAAGCTCGTAATTCGCAAAGAGTCTATATTTCACGCTTTTGCACTTCTATGGAATGTGAATGATACTCATTTTGAGTTAAAAATGTACTTGGTCTTATTTTTTAAAGAATTCCTCTCCAATAGTTGATAGTAAAAATACAGACAATGCATGAAAAAAATTCTTAACATGTCTCTCCTCTTGTTTTTATTTCTGACGCCACAATTCTAAACGACACACACCAATAAATCTCGTATTTCTGTCGCATATATTGAACGCAAGAGACCTCCCATGGCTTTCACGCCGAAATAAACTTTGCAGAGTGATTGCAGATTGAGTGAAATATATGAAACATTCAGAAAACTTGGATAGAAATACCGCGACAGCTGCCGAAGTGAATGATATTTCTTTATAAACAACAATTCTTCTCCTAGTATAAATATTTATGGATCAGCTGAATATATTTTACGTAATATTTCAAAAATTCCCTCATAAATTCCTTTTCAGTGGAATTCACAAACTTGCGTTTGCGAGGGTGGATTTTATGGGGAAGTTTTCTCGATGTTTATTTTCGCGAATTGTGAGCCTCTAACAAACATAGTTTTATAGGCTCCCTAAATGACAGCATCAATTGAATTTCCTACGCCATCATTTCATTGCCTATTGAGGAACTTTTCTGGCGACTTTTCTGCTCTCTTCCCTCATCTTGTAAAATATAACTTGACCCCTTATTTTGGAAATGTTACTGGAGAGCAAAGAACGAAATTGTAGATAGTTTTTGAGGAAGGGAAAGTTTCACCTCGTTGCCTCAATTTGGCCCGCTTGTTTTCATAAATATTTATGACATGGAAGATTTTGAGGGCAAAGAGAAATTTTAATAGCGCGGCACAGTGAAATTTTAGGTAGTGCGATAAAGAGCGAGCCGCAAGAACATGTGAATTTCGCAGAGGAATAATTAACTTTCACTCAAATATTTAAATTGGAAAAGTCTGTGAGACGTGAAAGAAATTATTTTCTCTAATCACCAAAAATATGTGGAGGAAAATGCCTTTATATAAGATCTTGGGTGAATGCCCCACGTGATAATCAAGTAATTCAATTAACGACAATTTTTTCTTTCCTTCTGAAAGTTCATTATGCCATCCTCCTTCGTCAGCGTTGTCTCACAGGACCTGTTTATTATCTCGAACACATTAAACTTTTTTCGCCCACCCAAATCCACTCGCTTTTGCCCGAAACATGAAAGATTAAAAGTTGACGGTGACAGAAATTCCTGGGGAAACTCTATCAAGTTTTTGGCCAAGAATGAGGAGATGATATCACACACACACACTGTGCTGCACAGCTCTCTCTGTTTCGCCTTCACGGCGGGAGGTGCCAGTCAAAGTGGCTGAAACCGGCGTGGTTTACGACCACCCGCCGTGTCAAATTTCCCGTCAGCACGCTGATGTTCTATAAATAGCAAGAAATGCCTGTAGATTTGGTATTTGGCATATTTTGAGGAAGTTTTCCAATTAATTTGCCCATCTGAAAGTTTGTTCTTGGAGAAATTTTAGAAAGTTGCTGATTGGCAAATTAAGCGCATTCAATGAAATTTTTCATAAATTTCGCAAGTGTTTTTGCATCTTTTGGCGCTCACGAGTATATTCATTATTTACTGCAGATTATCCTGCGGCACCGATGTATTTCTTATGTATCCCAGAGGCACACGAAAGAGCTCAACTGAGATCACTCGACTCAGCTTTAATTTCATGAACAACGAGCGAATGTCCAAAAATGACTGATCATCGCAATCCTCATCCGTCGTGGCGGCGGGTAATTAATGACGAATAAAAAGATGCGATGACACACACGAAAACTCACCCCTCAAGCCACACATTTTTTCACCCGTCGGCCATTGTCCTGAAGAAAGGAGAGAGCTTCCGGGTAGCTTTTTTCCCCGTCCTCATTCATTCTCAAAGCAATTCCAGTGACCCATCGAGAGCGGTGTGTGTGTTGGAGTGTAAATTTCTGAGCTAAGTTCATTTATTGTTTGTGGGCAAAGTTTGTGTCATGATCTGCTCTTGATACGAAAACTTTGGTGTTTTTCCAGCCCCCACCACGATTAGCGTGGTGCTGGCGATGAGAAGTAAAAGAAATTTGATAATTTCACCCAAAACACCATCGCAAGCGGCAAATCCTTCACCAAAAGTTACATCAAAAGTTAATATGTGAGAGAAGAAACAGACTTGCGGCGTTAGTTCAGACCATATATGATAGAATACATTCAAGAAAGATTATTACGAAGGATGCTTTCAATCACCTTTTTCTTGCCTCTCATCTCATTAGTCATCTCCACTGAGGATGGAGTGTAGTTTGAAAATTAGTTCTTTACATTGAAAAAGAGAGTTTGAACAGTGAGTTCTCATGAGAAATTTACAAAACTTGCTAAAAAAAATGCATTTACTTTATCTGTAAATTCCTAGAGCATAACATTTCTTTCTTCTCAACTTGCTCTATGATTTTAAGTAGAAAATATCTATATATGGAAAGTTCCATTTTTAAAAACCCAAGAGAGATTGACATGGTTTGTTGTATGTATGATACATCTAAATTCTAAATTTGAAATTTTATTTCTCAAGAGAGCCACTCTCCACGGAGGGAATGCAAGACGAAGTAAGTATGAGTTATGCAATAATAGAGGGCAACCTTTTGGATCTTGTATGTCGGAGTCTTTTCCTCTTTAAGTGTTCTCTTGTACAGTTTCTGAGGAAAAACCGGCGGCATATCGTTGACATCACGAATATGGATAACGATTGTGGTCTGGTTGTCATTCAAGCTGTCCGATGCCACAAGTGTTAAATCATACTTTTTTTCGTGTGCGCATTTGTGGTCCACGATGGAATGGTAGGAAAAATTGTGTTAATTCGTCACATGAGGTGGAAAATTCATATTTTGTGACACAGTAAAATACAGAAATGGAAGCATTTTATCAAATGAAATTCCCAGTCGATTGGCTGCACGTGAGATGGACAAGGTTGACAATGGAGATGAAAGTTTATGATTGAAATGTTGGAAAAATTCCTGTGGACAGGCCGTTCGTTTTTACCTTCATCAATTGTGCATCAGGAACAAACAACACACACACACACACTTATTCATATCTAGAAAAAAATGATCATAAAAGTGTGGATGAAAATCAAAAACTGTGACATGCTGTTGAGAAAATTGATGCAATTCCTGTTCTATGGTGACATCACAAAAACTATACTAAAATAAGAGTGAATGGTTTTGTAAAATAACCACGCTTCATCTCTTTTTTCATGCTGATGGGGTGGAAATATGACGAAAAACCACACGCAAAAGCCTAAAAAATGAATACAAACACTCGTGGAAGTGGATTTAAAAAATGCTTGAGCAAAGATAAACCTAAAAAGAAGCATCAAAACAAATCTATATTTAGCATGGAAAATTGACTAAGCTAACGAGAGGGACAAAGCATTGTATAGCAGCAAAATAAAGGGTAAATTGCGTGTTGAATCAATCGCAATCGTCAACCTGTAGGACTCGTTTTGGTAAATTGCGGTCATCCTCTTCGGTTATTTGGGTCCTGTAAGTGGGCCGCTCGAAAACGGGTGGATTATCATTGACATCCTTGACATGGATTACGACTGTTGTGTAGTTCTCCTTCAAATTGTCCGACGCCGCTAAACGTAGCTCATACTGCAGAGCAAGCAAGAGAAAATTTGTCTATACCATATTTCATTTTCCACACAAGAAAAGTAGATACGTATTTGCGTACAAGTATATAGGAAGATAGAGGATTGGTAAGAAAGCTTATTAGAGTATGAATGAATTGAGAAGCTGAAAAGGAGAAAGAGCGAGAGATGAACTTCATGGGCTTGATATTCATCATGTGAAAAGTTTTTAGCATAATCACTGAAAAGAAGCTTATTTAGTGAACTGGAGAGTCATAAACTGTAAGGTTTTTGAATTTTATCGCGTTTTTTATTGCGAACATCATTTTTGAATAGAACGCGAATTTAAGACGAGTAAAGGAAAACATATAAAATAGAAAGCCCTGAGAAATAGCTTTTGCCATTCCATTCAACTTAATCTCTGAACTTTTCATTATGCATGAAAAAAAAATCCTCTCGAAGAAATGTATCGAGACCATGGCGCAAATTATTGGGAGAAAAGCAATTTAATTGAAGTGAATTTAATTGAATTTTACCCAAAACAGGTATTGGGTATGAATTTAATTGAAAAATATTGACAGTGACAAATATAAATTTGATTCATCAAAATAATTATTTGCATATTGAAAAGACCTCACAAACGGAAAATATGTTGCTTTGCTGTCACTGAAAACTCAATTATATCGAGCTTTCGCTATATATGAGCTTTTTTATTCGCTTTATCACGTATTTCTCTGCTTTCTCTACAAGTTCTTCTTCTACAGAGCCATGAAGGTTCATCGTACTCACAAATCATTTGCTATATGTCTACTTCTTTTAAATGAATCAGACAGACACATCGCCGAATCAGCACTTTTCTGCTCTCCTGTAAGGGAAATTGTAAATATTCCCGCCAGACATAAATTTCAGGCCAATAAAGTGATAAAATCTTTGGTGATGTTAGCAACTGTTCTGCGAATTGGCTGCAGCTAAAATATGATGATTCAGTGGAAAGCACTGTATTTTTTTACCATTGAGCCCCATCATTGGAAAATTCTGCCAAAACACTGTCGCCACATTTCGGACAAATAATGCTCGCGCACAGTCCCAATTGTGGTTACCATTCACGATGACGATAATTGAATTGAAAAGGTGATTTTCCAATTTACAATCAATTATCATAACTAGGTACTACTGCAAATGTGGGCACAGTGTGTATGATTCGAGGTCGCTCAAGATGAACCTCAGACTGTGCAAGAGGGTGTACTACATTAGTTTGTCAGGCCAACAGGGAACTGCTGGGGTTACGGGGGGTCATTGGGAGATAAATCACCCGATGGCCTCCAGTATAAATTGTGGCTTTGACAACGCCAATTTTCCACGCGTTCACCTCGCTCACCACATGATTAATATGGAAATTACTATCTTTTCAATTACAATGAATTCCGATATACATAAATTGATTTACTGGGCGTGGTATTATGACACTATATTCCCCAGTGAAATTGATGATTTTTCTCCAATTGGTAATCGTGCATGGAATGTTCCTGCAAAAAATGTTTTAAATGTGAATTTTGGATGCACTGAATAAATTTTTTCAATAAGAGACTTATCACAGACCTAAATGAAAATACACAAATTATTTCTGTGCGGTGCACAAAGTAATATAATATTAATTCTGTGCGGATGTATTGTTCCTATTGTTGTCCAATTTCACTCCATCGTCACTGGTAACCATACTGCATATTATTTTCTATCAGCACACGCTGCAAATGTTCTATAATGCTACAGAAATTAATTAAATAAATCATTTAATGACACGAGGAGCAAACAAAAACATTTTTCTCCCCATCATTGCACCTTCTGCAGCGACCTAAATGGCTAGATAGTATGGGGGTGTGGAATGTCCAGGGCAGTAGCATCTGCAGTAGATGCGAAGCTAGATAGGGGGATAAAAATGCAGAAAAACTTACCCGTTTCCGTGTTTCATAGTCCAGAGCACCAGCCACGTAAATGGCACCCGTCATGTTCTTAACAGCAAAGGCTCCTCCTATGTTACCGCTTGTGATCTCGTATCGAATACGCGAGGCTGCAAGGAGAAGCGAAAAGAAAATCAATCTCAGGGGTGCCTATTGGAACAAGTGCAGGGAGTGCTGGGCGAGGGCTTTGCTTTCCATCAATATACACTTAATAACCTCCCTCGATAACTTGCTAGTAAAGTTTTTCCATCAAAAAGTATATTAATTGCTCGGGCATTGTGGAAGAAAAACCTCGAGAGTGAGATGGTAGAAAAAATTTAACGCTTTTTCACTGCACGCCAAAAGATTTCAATCACAAGGAAGTGAAATTAAAGTCATCTGTAATTAATTTTCCTTCGATCATGTTTACACATCAGTACATATTTCCTTAAACATCTATCCTTTGTCAATTTCCATCCGAGAGAGAATCACAGTTTATCGAACAACCCTTAATGGACAAAGTCACTCTTTGGCCAGTTGATCAATTAGGAAAATTGCTTCTGATAAAAATAACTTTGTTCTGAAGAATATCAGCTAACAAGTAGAGTAAAACTGAAGTTCATTGGCACTTCACCAGAGGAAACTGATTTTCCCAACTGACACTTACTAAATAGTTTACTGAAACCAGATTTTCCCTTTTTTCCAGAATGAATATAAATATATTTAATCTACCCCACAAATGCTTACCAGAGCATCACAATAATAATACGCTACGCAAAAATACTTTAATTGAAAATGTGTGTACAGCTTGGTGTACGGAATTAATGCGAAAAAATGTGCATTTGGTTTTCGGAAAAAGTGTTGAAATTTATTACTTCTCACCACTACATTTTAATGGTCACATAGTGACATATTACGCACGCCAACTCAGGAAGTAAAAGCTGTACAATTGTGTTATATAATGAGAGATAAATTAGGTGCGTTGTTCTGTCAGCCAGAAAACCCTTTAATAATATCAATCATTGTTCAATACACATAAAACTCTTGCGAGATAAAATCTCAAATAAGATTTTTACATTTTCATTTAGAATTTTATCCTGAAAAAAAGCACGTAATAAATCTTATGGGACCCCTAAAACTCTCACAGGCTTCATTTCCACCCACGATTTTAGTCATTTATAGCAAGTTTTAGTGTAGAGCTTTTACTTTACGATTTCCTAAAGCGCCCATTTTAGCTATTGCCATGGAAAAATTTAATTTCGTCACTCTGTGAAGCTTTAAACTTTCTACCCATCACATTTGATGGTGGAGTGAAAGCATGAAAATAGGTAGATTCGTCCATGTGAAAAATTTTATAAGGATTATCAGTGTTACACTTTTTCGTGCTTCACAGTCAACTGTTTGGAAAATTAAGTTTATCCCCACACTTAACCATCAATGTGGATGTACTTGGAGCTCCGTAAGCTCACTGCAAGTATAGATAGAGCGGGACTAAAAAACTCTAGTTGCAGGGAGAGAAAAAACCCCTCCTGTTGAGTGTGATTCAGTAAATTTGCGGTGTGCGCGAAATTAAAACGAAAAGCTCTTAGTTGCACCTCACAAGTGAGCTTTTCTCCATCCTACGTGTATGTATTAAGTGTTTTTTTCTCTACTATGAATGACTTGATCTCACTACTAGCTTTACATGTTAAGCTTACTCTTGAAAAATATATGATGTGGATTTTTCAAAAGAATGTGAAGAAAATGTACAGTGAAAGTTGATAAAGTAAAGTTTAAGCTTCTGTGGAATACTTTCAGCATGTAGTTTGCTCCCCATTTATTCCACTCATGATAGATTGATATAAATGACGTATGAGTGTAGAGAAAATCCCATGGAAATCGCTCCTGATATCGCATTGTAACGGAGCAGAAACGTACGGCACGAAAAATATTGATTGAATTAAGCAATGGAATTGCAGAAAACTGGTGAGTACCAGAACATAGTCAAAACTTTTTACCCAAATGAACATGATTAAAGCATTTGTTAAAGAAAAGCGTAGTGACAATTGTTACTGTATTTCGATTCGAATTATTTGGTCAATCATAAAATTTGACATTTAGCATTCCAAAATCAAAAGTTGCCGATCAGACTGTATCGCTTATGAGAGGCCGTTGATAGATCACTAGATTTTGCACTATATGTCATCTATCCTGTAGCTGGAATATCGGCTTGAGAGCACTCCGAAATCCTTTGGGAATGTCTCTTTTGCTGGACTAATCCATTTCACCGCTAATTGAAGTGAAGTCCGTTGCCTCAAAATAATGCGCTCGCCAAAGCTTCAGCCACATGCAGTCTCATCCCGCTATGCTCCGTCACTCGGCACTCAACAGTGAATTTAATCACGGCGCGGGGTGAAAGAGATCAACTCCACCCTGTTTTGTTACATGTTCCACGCTCACCCACCCACCAAATAAATCCATATTGAACACGAACGTCTACTTCCTAAATTAATTTTTACACTAAAGCCAGTTCAGACTGGAGAAAGCCAACGGCTTTTGGGCCAAGAAGCCTGCGGCTGAAAGTCAATTAACTGGGTATATGACGGAAAAAAAAATTTCATCCAATTTTGCCTCATCCAATAGCATGAATGATCTCACGCCCAATTTGTGTATACATATGTATGTATATTTTCCCCGGAATTCTCTGTCTTTCTCGTCTCATTTCTAATACGCTTTTGCAATAAACGCAAGTTTTAAGTGGATTTCGCAGATTCATACTCGTAAATTTATTAAAAACTTTTCCTATTTTTCCCATGGACAGCAAATGTGATTAGTTTCTCTTCTGCCCTGGCTCATTTTTCAGCTCTCGCAAAACTTACTCGCATTTTTCCTTCCTATTTGTTCCATTTGTAGCACAGAGTTAGCTTCATGATAAAAAATGCGAGATAGTAGGAAATCACTGCATGAAATATACAGGAAAATAACCAGAATGTGATTTCACAAAGCCGAAAACAGTTATATATATATATATATATATATATGTGTGTGTGTGTGTGTGTTTGGTCCTCTTTTTCACTTTGTTAGTTATACAATCAGTATAACTCTTTCAATATGGCATCGGAAAAAATCTCATTAATTTAACTACTTCAAGTTGTTGTGATTTGTGAGCGAGATAAGCCAAAGAAAATCTACTGACACTTTGGGAATCTACATGTTGACCGGAATGTAATTTATATTTGGGTTATATGTGTGGAGAAACAGACACTCAAGTCACGATGAAATTTAATATCAACCCGAGTTGAGCGAATTATTCGATTTACGAGACGTTCTCTGTGACGTGCACCAAAGAAGGGACATGGCTTTTGATACCCCACCACAAGAGTCATTCCTAGAGGAAATTGAATTTAATTTGAGAAGATCGCACGCAAATAATATGGCTTTGCATGCATACTACACAGCGGTATATATGATGATGCTGTGAAAAGAAATATCCAAGAGAAATTGGGTGAACAACCAGTAAATTTGAGATTCACGAGAGAGCTTCATAATACTTGCAAATTCACTGCCTCTGTATGGGGGCAAAATATATGGGTATTTAAGTGCAGCGCCACTGAGTTGTGACAAAAGAGTCTTTCACTTCTTGCTGGCCGTCCCAGGAAATTGTCATCATCTGCGGATAAGGGTGATTTTGTGCTTTTAAATTAGACGTATGAGCTGATCTTTCTTCAGCGGCGGCATAGAAAAAAAGTTGACAATCCCAAAACTTTTCACCTTAACACCAACTAAAAGCTTCATACCTCATAAAATATATATTCAGTTAATTCAAATTTAATTAATCCAGTGCGGTTGACACCAGCCGGCCTATTTTCAATGCGCTCTCACGTTCCATCCGGGAGGAGGACTTTAAGATGAGATAAATGCTTTGAGGGAGGAAATTGGTACAGATGACGGGGGAATAAAGTTGAGAAGATGACAAACGAGCAGAGAATCGAGACATACAATTAGCAATAAAACGCTCTCTTCCGCCCATTTTCAATTTTCGAGGGTGAATCTCTCGAGCAGACGGCAAAGGGGTTGAAAGGAAGCACGCTATATCCTTTCCTTCAATTAGGCATTTCGTACACCAAACATTCTTTTAATTAAATTTTTGTCCTTTTGACGGAGACACCGCACGAAATGGATGAATGATTTTTTTCTGAGGCAAGCTTTTTCCCAACGCCAAAGCTCCGTCACGATATCTCAATAAATTTCTTGGAGCACAGAAGATGCGGACTGAGAAACGGACAAATGAGTGAAATCGTCTCAAGGGCTTTCCTTTTTTTGCCGGTCGTGGATGAAAAGCTCGCTTTTGGGGTGGCTGAGTCATCAGCTCTAAGAGCGCCAAAAGTTTAATTTGCCGCCAGCTGAGTAAACGGCTTAATTAAAATTCTGAGAGAAAATTCACTGTTTCTTCTTTAAGGTTCTCTCTTTTCACTCATCATACTTCCGGGATCTTCAACTCTTCAACGACAACATGGCACGAAATGCAAACAGAAGCTATTATGTACCCAGTAAAAACACAATCCGCTGTCCATCGATTATCCATCGTTTTTCCATACTGTGCCATGGAGCATAACGGATGCACCACAGGATTCTTGCGGGAATACCTAAGGCCAAATCCTTCATCTTCATAGGCCGGGCAAACAGTGGACTTGCCCTGCGGGATTCCCGCGAGGATCCCTAAGGCCAAATCCTTCATCCCAAAAGGCTGGGCAAACAGTGGACTTGCCCTGCGGGATTCCCGCGAGGATCCCTAAAGCCAAATCCTTCATCCTTAAGGCTGGGCAAACAGTGGACTTGCCCTGCGGGATTCCCGCAAGAATCCCTAAAGCCAAATCCTTCATCCTTAAGGCTTGGCAAACAGTGGACTTGCCCATCAAAAATCCAGTGGTTATCCACTGGTTTGCCCATCAAAAATCCAGTGGATTTTTGATGTGCGCAAACCCTCATCTCAAACAGTGGGCAAACAGTGGATTCGCCCATCAAAAATCCAGTGGATATTCACTGTGCACAAACCCTCATCTCAAACAGTGGGCAAACAGTGGACTTGCCTGCAGGATTCCCGCAAGAATCCCTAAGGCCAAATCCTTCATCCTTAAGGCCGGGCAAACAG